TGTGTTTACAAGGAAAGTGCACGGCGCCGGCGACGGCATCGCCATCGGCGACGACAGACGCAGGTGATGGCAATATGTACAGACACATCTGTGTCTGTACATAAAAAGGGAGCCCTTGACAAATTTGGCAGAGCTCAGGGGGCTACCAACTGAATACACAACTCCTTTAGTTAGATCAGGGGTAACTGGTTGGAGATCTAGCCATGATGTGGAATTCCAATGTCCTGAAGACAGCTGCATAAAAACCTTCAACTCCGACATGGAACTAAACCACACTGCTTTTGGCCAGCACTCCATGGAAATTAGAACGGAAACTGCTTGTGACAGAATTAAGGTCAGATGGGCAGAAAAGTGGGGGAAGTAAGAGTGCCTAGAGTTGTAGGAGTGACAGGTGCTGTGTCAGGTAGTTTAAGCTTAGAAAGTGTCCCTGTTGGTTGGGCACTGAGGCAAGCAAAGACAGCGAAGCATAGAATTAGCCAGCCAGCTGTGTGGCCGTGTTTTGCACGACCATTTTTCATGAAACAAGGTCAGTTTTTCAAATCACGGCCCACAATGAAGCTGTGTATTTTCAATACATTATTTACTCACGATATATAATACATGAAATCATGTTTAAAACGCATCTGAACGTCATCTGAACCACGCAGGTTAACAAGAAACTCTTTTGAAAACAATTTTATACTCAATCACTGTGAAATAGAGAGAAAATGCAACAAATTCTATGGAGACCGGGATTTTACTGTTTATGCTCCAAAATTGTGGAACAAATTGCCTTTTAGTATCAGAGCTGAAAGTGACTATAATACTTTTAAAGCCTGTCTTAAAACTCATTAAAGAATTTAAAGAATTTTATGGTTAGTGTTCCTTTAAACCTTTTAGTTGTTTATCATTTATTAAGAGTGAGCTTGGGTTAATTTTAGTAGTATTTTAAAGTTATATCAATAAATTTTCTCTGCTTTCTTTAATTAATTTTATCAGTAAATGTTAAAGTATTTTAGTTTTGTTATTTTTAGACTTTTTAAATTATTTGTAAAGTGCACTGAAATGTAAAAAATGGAATGCGCTATATAAGAAATAAATATCATTATTATTATTATTAGAAAAAAATCGTTCCCTGGGTAAACAAAAAATGGCCATGTTTGGCTCAGTTCGGAAATAACGGCTGTGCGCATGCACGGGACAAGTTGTTGTTTCCCGTTTTGATGGTGGCCTTTTTCTGAAGTTTTCATCTATAGGACTGCGTCATGACCACGTCAAAAATGAAAAAAAGACAATTATACAGATAGGAAGTTTCTTTTCTAATTCAAAGGACAAGGTAAGGATTGAAAATTCAATTATGAACTCCATTCTGAGCAGGTTTTTATCTCCGAATAATAGTGCCAGCACAAGTATTTTTTTTCCGGAAATTTTCCACCCGGCATGATCTTAAGGGGCCCGCACACGGTGAGCATTTGGCGCGCGCCACTTGCGCTGTGCAAAATGCTCACGCTCCTCAGCTCCCCGCAAACGCTGCGCTCTTTGCTCAGCAAAGGTGCCTCCCGACCCGCCCCTATCGGACGTACCGTAAACTGTGGGATCATGTGATTAGTCAAAATGGCTGACGCCGAGTCTGATTCTGAAGTGGAAGATGAGGTGCTACTTCTTTTGTTGTTGTTGCGCCGACGCAGACGACGGAGGGCAGCAAGGCGCCAAACGTGGTGCAGGCCATGGATATTGAGGAGAAAGAGGCAAGGAGCCTTTAACAATCTAGTGAGAGAGCTGGACATGGAGGACCATGAGCAGTTTCGCTTATTTCATCGATTAGATAGGGAATCCTTTCAAGACTCATGTTGAGCCCTACATAACAAAAGAGAACACAGTCATGCGGTCTTCAATCTCCGCCAGCGAAAGACTTTCCCTCACACTGCGTTTTCTTGCAACAGGTAAGTAGGTGGCCTACTATACTGTAGCCTGGCAAAATTATATTATATTATATCATACTCTTTTTTTAAGACTTCTTTTGACAATTAATTAGGCAGGGGCGTATTTATTACCATGAATTTTATACTAGGCCCCTATTGATAGCTAAAAATTAAAATATAACGATAGGCTCATTTCACATTTTGTTGTAGACAGTGGTTGGGTTTCTATATTAACCAGTTTTTTTTAATTTAATCAAATTATTATAGCCTAATTAAGGCTAAATAACTGCAATTCTTCACTTAAACTAGTTTAGTTTCTCTTATCACAATTATACAAGGCTATTGGGCCTGCACTGTGTATTTCTTGACTTCTGTTTCAGGAGAATCCTTTCAGAGTCTGGCGATGCAGTATAGAGTTGGAGATCGAACAGTTTCCAATATTGTTGATGAGACTTGTCAGGCACTGTTCATTTCACTAAAAGATGAAACACTGAAGGTAGTTTTTATTACAATTTCTTTAATTAGATATCAATGCTTTAACATCTAAGAAAACATGGAACACTAAGCAACAACTGACTTAGATTAAAATTTGATGCAATAATACTTGACAAGTAGACTTAACAGCAAAATCAGTACCAAATATTAACAAACAGAATAAAAAATAACTTTGCACAACAGGTAACATGGTCTACTTCATAATATAATATATATGCAGGGAAGAAAACAGCATAATGTAAACCACATTCTTACAGGAATTTCTTACAATGTGTAAACCACATTCTTACACGAATTTCTTACAATGCGTGAATGAAAATTACTTAACACTATGTCATACTTATTTATTGTACGTTTAGGTACAGAGACCTCGTAAATGTTACTAAAACCCCTATTTACAGTGTTTGATGACATTATCTTACCTGCAACTGACATTGATAACTGGCACTGATACAAATTACATTGCTAAACAGGTTTAAATACATGTAAACAGGGCCCGCTAAAATACTGCATAATTTTTCACAGATTTCCTTTTTAGTGGCTATTATTTATATATGTGAAATGAGGAAATCCACCAGTTATTCATATTCTTAAACTATAGTTGTACAACTGTGTTGTAAGAATCTTGTTCATTAATCATCATTAAACAAATACAAGCTAAACTTTATATTCCGTATTCAAGGTCATTAGAGGGAAAAATACAGCATAGCTTCAATAAAAAAAAAATAATAATGCACAAAGAAGTTCAGCTTGTATTTGTTTCTGAATATCTGTGTTACATTGCAGAATTTGTTGTTAAGCATACTAGTAATGTATTATTAAAGCCCAAAAAGTGGTTATGAAAGGCCTTCAGGTCTTAATCTATTCACAGTCACACCTTAAAATTGCCAATATTTGAAATATCAACATTTTACAAGAAACAGTAAAACTTTTAGAAAATTGTCCAAACATGTCGATTTTCGAACTCAATCTTTATTTTATGAATATTGATCACTCCTGTAAATTTGAAGACAATAGACGGTTGGTTTTTCT